CTGGCCGCGGCTCCGCATTGCCGCCGCGTTTCTTACATCAGCCGCCGCCGGGTCGATGGTTCACACACACACACACACACACACACACACACACACAGAGGGGGGGGGCACAGGGGAAGGGGTGCTAAAGCCGAGGGGGCGAAACACAGAGGAGTCGTGTTGGTCACAGCTCCCAACTGCAAAGCCCACGCAGAACGGTTTTCCCTGTTTTCACACCGGGTTCACCGTTTTCAAGAGAGAAAAAAAGAGAGACCCATTTGCTTATTTCCATATTTTTGCCAGGCAGGCAGTCAACGGGGATTTTTTTATAACAGGGCTCTCAACAAATCAGCCGGGCGATGTTTCTACCCCTCATTCCTTATGGGCTTCCAAGACCAAACAGCCTACTTTGAGGCAGGGATGGCGACGATCTGCCACACATCTGTGGGCTGAAAGAGGAAGCTTATCTCCCTGTCGTAGCTGCATTCACCTGTTGCAGGGAAAAGGGAAGGCGGTGTAAGGCGCTCCTGAGGCTAACAGAAGAGATGCACAGCCAAACACTTCAGAGGCACAAACGGTGGTTTTGAGGCTAAATGGGGGGGGGGCACAGAGCACCTCTGGTTAAGGATGGGATACAGAAAAGTAGAACTGAATGTAAATGTGGCATCATTGGCAGTGAATATTCCCTGGCCAGGGGAGAGTGACAGGAATCTGTGCCCCAGGACCAGAATTGAGTAATAAGAGCATTTGTCACTTTCCTTCTGTTTTAAAGTTACATCATGCTTTAAAACAAGTAAACGTTTGGGAGTTGTTCTGTTACAGATGTATGGGGGGGTGTATCTGGTTCCATGAGGCTGGCAGACATCCTGCTGCTTAGTGCAGTACCAAATATGCTAAAGTGGGCCCATTGAATCAGTGGGGATTTGGGTCACCAAGTACAGTGGGCCTATTTGAATCAGTGGACTTCATGGAGATTTGATGATAGACAGATTTCCACTGATTAGTGGGCCTACTCTAATCCACTATAAATCCTGCCAATTCAATTGGGCCTAGTGAATCAGCAGAATTCATGGAGAAGTTTACTCTAGATTTCCACTGATTAGTGGGCCTACTCTAGTGAAATTTACCGTGCTAAGACAGGATTTCAGTTGTGGTTTTCTAAAGGAGCACAGCAAACAGACTAATGTATGTTAAGATTTGGAATTTTAAATTAAACAAGAGCAATAATACAAATTCAGCCAAACTTAATGATAAAAATCACGTTTGCATTTACACATGAATGTCATCCATAAATTAGGTGTCAGATCAGAAATTGCTCACAGATAAGGAAATCCCCCAAAGTCCCTCTAAATCCAAACATGTAAGGGACCAAATCTCAAGATAGTTCTGCCTTTCACATTCTTCCGGGCCAAAGGTGGTACTGTCAGAAGCCCTGAAACAAAAGACAGCAATAATATTACAAGGATTTGCATTTTCATTGCCCTTCCTCGCACATGCATTTATATTATGTTACTTACATGAAGATTATAAGGGCCTAATGCTCCAAAAGAAATTGTAACTCCTCTGTCTCTATTTATACTGAAATTTTACAATCATTGCCACTTCTTCAGGATTTCCTCAACCCCTAGGCTGGACTGAATGGCCCTTATAATGCTAGGAAAAGTTGAAGGACAAGTAAGAGGTAGATTGATTTTTTTTAAAAAAAGGAAGAAATAAACGCACAGGGTCTTAGCCCATCATCTGTTTGAATATAAAACACTGGAAGATTTCCATCTTCCAATTTACAGCTATATGCACAAGAGATTCCCATCTGCCTGGCAGTTTGTGAGTTCCCTTGGCATTCCAATAATACAGTAAGACTTAGTGTTGGACATCACAACTTCTTCATTCCATTTCCTTTTCTTGGTTTCTGATGTTTTTCACTTTCTTTTGTGGCCAAGTCTTCTAAGTTGTTCACATAATCCTGATGACTTACTTCCTTGTGACATCTTACAAACAACAAATAATAAGGCAATTGGTTGTTGTGGGTTTTCCGGGCTGTATGGCCGTGTTCTTAAGTCAGAACTGTTCTGACTCCTGCCCTCTGAAGATGCCGGCCACAGAGACTGGTGAAATGTTAGGAAAAAAAACCTTAAGAACATGGCCAAACAGAACGGAAAACCCACAACAACCATCGGATCCCGGCCATGAAAGCCTTTGAGAATACATCAATAAGGCAATTCCCTAATAATATCATTTCTGATGCAGTTGTGTGTATCAGTATATATTTTTTCCAGTGAGTTTTCTTATTTGCTCTGAACATTTCTGACATATCTAAGAGAGTACAATTAAATCTCTTAACAGAGTTTCCTCTAGGTTGATAAGGAGTAATAAGGGACTTAAGTCCCAGCAATTTTACTTAACATTTCAACTGATTATCATTCAAAATTCTGATCACTGAGAAATCTTCTAGAGAATCCATAGTGACTTATATGATTTTTCTACAAGGTGAGTTTGCTCTTGATCTTGCAATTTGGTCTTTAGTAGGATAAGCTTGGGCATATCAGTGGCCATCATAAAAGCTTTAATATCTGTTGCATGGGGTTCAAGAGTCAGATCTATACAAACTAGTTCTAAAGGAGAACACACTTTAATATTTATTAATTTGGCTACTATTTCCACCTTAGCCTTTTTTAACATTCCGCATTTACAGTTACATTGTCTTTGCTCTACTGCTTGTGTCATTCTAGGCCGAAAGAATCCATCCTGTGTCAGGTCAGAGGTCCTCTCTATTCCATCTCATGATGGATTCCTTCTGGAGCCTTGTTCCTATTTGTATAACTATAAAGCATCACCAATTGCTCCACATCCTCTCCCCTTCTGTACATCCTAATAAAGGACACCATGTGGAAATAAAAACCTTTCAGATACATCTCAGTCCCATAGTCTTCATGTTTTTTCTTCATCTTGGGCCAGTTTAAGCTTTGTTTCCAAAAACTGTATCACTGTGGTCATATACTTATCTCTCCTGTGCAAACTTTTCCAGACTAGAAGAGCAGCACTCTGTTCACAGAGTATGTTAGCTCCACATCCTTGACTTTAAAAAGTTGTTTGGGAACACTGTCTTCTGAAGAAAATGGTGTCTCAGTACAGCTGTTGTTCCTTTCCAGTGACTCTTTGGATGCAGATTAGTCATCAGAGACTGCATGAACCTGGATGACTGCCTTGCAAATCTCAGCATCCATTGACTTCCAAATTTTAGGATTTTGCTGACATCTACATAATATATTGGTGATCTGCTCCGCTTGTCGAGTTCCTTCCTCATCTTCCAATGAAGCATCATCTCATTTTCAGGAGAAACAAATGGCATCTTCATTATTCCATCCAATCTATAAACAGTTTCGAAATTGAGTAAGGGCAAGGCTGAGCCTCATCTCTGACTCTTAGCATCTAATTTGGCTGATATGTTAAAGGATTATTGAGTGTCATTATTTTAAACTCAATTCTATAAGGAAAATCATGCCCATTTCAGCAACCATTGCTTTTGCACTGGGTAACTGCATTCACTGCAACTCAAACATCTACTGGTTCAGGTACTGACACAAAGATCACTATTCTGGAACTGATATAATGCCACTCCTAATCCTGTAATACAAGCATCTGTTTGCAATGTACATGGACGTCTCTGGTCAGCAAACCCCAATGTAGGCATAGTAGTCAATTTTTGTTTCAAGGTCTCAAAGGCCATCTGACAGTTGGAATCCCATTTATGCTTGAGAGATCACTACCTAAGACTTTTATTACCCACCAATAGTGGCTTGGCTATGAATCTCCTACTGTAACTAGCAAATGCAAGGAATCTCTTAAGTTCATTGAGAATTGTGAACCTTGGTGGAACAATAGTGATGCCACTTTTCTCTTTATCTTACTCTATTATTGTAGATATTATGTGGCACAAATATTTCACTGATGTTTGAAATAGCTTGCATTTAGGAAGGGCTAGCTTCTATCCATAATTTTGAAGCTTCCTAAGTACCTTCAGCAGTTGTTCCTCATGCTTTCCTTGGGTGGCCGAGAACATGATCAAATCATCCAGAAATGCAATTACTTCAGTTAAATTTTTAATCATGCACGGCGTTCTCCATCATTTACTGGAACATTTTTCAGAGTTTGAGGCATTTTAAATTGCCAGTTCCCAAACTGAGTGGCAGAGCTGTTTTCTCACAATCTTCTGGTTCCGCTGGCCCTTGATAATGTTTGTTTTTTATATCCAAAACACACACTTAGTTCCTGCAAGCAAGGCAAATATCTCTTCTAGGTGGGGGTGGGGGATCAGCATCTTTGTTAAATTGTTCAGTTTTCTTGCACTCCACCGCCTTGCTTCTTTCTTACCAAGGCTATGGGAGATGCATATGGGCTGCTAGTTTCCTCAGTAGACCCAAGTGCAGCCACTTCCTGCAGATGTTTCCTTATATTACTTGAGATCCACAATCTATTAAAAAGGTATAGTTTACCTTACTAATGACATATATTCATTGTATTCAGGTCCTTTCAGTTCCTGCAATATTTCCTTTTCACATCTGGTTAAACCTTCCTTTTCATGGGCCAACTGATAAGCTATAAAACTTTGAATCATTTCTCCTAAACCTGCATTCTTCTGGTTTCCTGGGTTGCTCATTAAATCCTGATGAACTCAATTTGGGTTAGGTCCATTAGTACAATCTTTCTGAAGTGGTGTTTTAATTCACATCTGAAACAGCGTAATTCCTTATTATGGTTCCTAGTTGCTTCAGATCTTCTATCCATGGGCTTGTGGAAAAGATGGGTTAAAGTTCCCCGGCTGCCTGTGTTGAGCAGTCATTTTGTGTCTGGCTATTTCTCTCTTAGCTTCTAAATATTTAATTTCCTCAAGTCTGCTTCTTTGTTATGACACCCTTTTGTTGCTCTTTCTTGCC